GATGCATCCTATCCCAAGCCCTTTATTTTTCTTCAGGCAACTTAAAAACTTATTCACAGTTTTTTTTTCACCAGGGCGCCGAACGCCGCTCGCGTCTGCCCCACACAGTATTTTTAAAACTAATCGGTCTCGGAGATTAGACTTAAAGTGAAGGCTCCTCTCGGAGAGCAGACGTCAAATGGGAGAAAATAGCCTAAGAAAAATGTCGATTCAACATAGCTCCATGGTTTTCCTAGCATTTGGATAAGCTGAAGAAGGATGTTAGTGTCGTGAAGACCAATTTCGTCTGGTAGTGCCCTTCCGGTCTCTCTTACTTCGCTGTTACTTCCACTGTGATTTTCGTATTCGTTTTTGTTTTCTTTTTAATGGTCTTCTTTGAAATATTATATTTCGTTTTATTTTTGTTAAGGTCGACTACTTGGATACAGCTCATCCGCTTCCTCGCTTTCTCAGGCGAATCCCTTTCCCAAATGCACAAAACAAAGCGCGAGATGCCGCCGTTTGACTGAGTTGAGGGCAGCTCGGAGAAAGGCTGCCGAAACTGATGAGGCGCACACATTTTGTATGTGGATTCTTTTTAAGGCAGTTTATCATGTCTTTCTCTGCTGATGTGCTGGCCGACCAATCTTTTGCTTAAGCATGTTCTGAAGAGGACCTTCCCACGGTTTTCGGAGAGTGGTACGACAGTCTTTTGGATGGTGGGGAGCAACCTGTGAAGTGCTATCACCTCGTGATTAATTCACTGAAGAAATTTTTCGTGACGAATACATTTGGGAACGCTGTCAAGGTTTGTTTTCACTTCTCTTTCTGGTTTCTCATCATACTAGATCGAAATGTTCTGCTTCTTTTATCCACGTACTCGCAATTTTTCCACAATTTTATTTTTTTGTTTGTTTTCTGAACGACTGTTCATATAGCATTAGCGTACTAATCTTTCACTACTTTCCTCCTCCATCTTTTTCTTGATACCAAAGAGCAGAGCAGTTCCGCGTGGATGTTGGTAAAAGATCGCATCTGGGGGCGAATGCAGCAAGGCCCGTCGTGGATGGGTTCTCGTTTTTCAAATCTGGTAGTACGATAAATCGAATGTTGGGGAAGGGGAAAGGACCCTAAATGGGGCTGAAGAACCGGGACCTTCGCGAAAAAAGCCGTACTGGTGGTGACCGCCGCTACGCTGTGCTTAAAAGTCTTCAATTGCGTTTTCTCACAAATATAGCTCCGGCGCTCGAAAATCAAAATTTCAAGCAGTGCAGTTTGATCGAGGTGGCGTCAGCCAACGATCGTTGAATGAAAATGAAGCCGTCCTCATAACGGTGTCTCCCAAAAAGACTGCAAGATGGTTTATCATCGAAGTAGCCCAACCGACAATGCCCATGTTCTTCCTCCGTCAAATCACCGGCGGTCGATTTTGTCGAACCTCACACGAAGTATTTGATTGTGGTGCTCTCGAACTCCAAATTTGCTGGGTGCGAACTCGGTTCATCATCTGAGCCCGCGCGAAGTACATTACGCGAGGTTCAGACTCTAATTAAGTACGAAATCAAAAGCTGAAATACGAGTAGAAAGTTCAAAGAAGTTGGATTATTCCGTAACCCTGGCTGTGGATCGCTAGGACAGGACGCAATTTTTTCCGTTCCTCGCAGCAGTGCAAAGCTTTTTCCGCTGTTTACGGTCCACTAATTTTTTCGGGATTGACTTTTCAAAGGACTCAAGCCTGGCTCGCAGAGCTTTATTTACAGTGGACCTAGTCAGAGGTTCCACGATGCTAAGTATGAGAGTGCTAAAAACTTTTCGAGAGCTCCAAGAAAAGCAGCAGCTTGGAAAAAGGAGACCCATTTCAGCCCTTAAACCTTAAACAACATATTCCTAATGGGTGAGTATCATTGATTATCCTGAATACAATTAGTTAATGTAAGCGCTAAGCTCTTTTCCCAGTTATTTCAAGACAGGTATCATATTCCGAGCTCACGCTAGCCATGTAGAATCGAATTGCTGCGTGAGAGAGGAGAGAGGCTTGCCCCAATTTTTTTTTGAGACACTACTGTAAATAAAAATATTTGAATAGTTGTATATCTCTGCGGCTGTTTCGATGTACATGAATCATAATTGGCCATATGATTTATATGCAAATACGCGAGGCTTCGTACGCGTGTTTTCATAAGTATTGAGCTCGCCTTGACAATATGTTCAATATTCGTTCGAGACAATTAGCGCATGCGCTCCACTCTTTAGGTTCTGTAGGTCGGTGTTTTCAAATGGTGTTTGTGATTTGAGGCATGTTAGATGGCGCCGTCTCATTGTACGTGACGAAAACTTTTTTAGACGATGGTGTGTGAGTTCCTTCGTAACCACGTGATACGTACGTGCGCGGAGTTAAATAGACAGTACGAAAGTTCGTCGATGGATGGGGAGCGCAGACTACGTGAGACTCAATTACAAATTCTCCTGGAGTTGTACACCAGTTATCTTGATCCGAAGGAACCATCAAAAGTGCTTGAAGTATGATAATTTTACAGTTTGTGGCATTTTCAAGTATAGGTTTGTACATTTAAGTTTTAGATTGTTAGAAAAATGAGAATAGTCTATTTCGTTGCAAGTGCTAGCAAGATGAGAACTTTCCTGGAAGAGCAAGTATCGGATAAGTAAGTGATATTTTATTTTTGTTTGTTTTTGATTGAATACTGGGAACATATTGTTATTTGGGCGTTGCCCCTTTGTTTTGATTAGAACGCTTTCAGTTTTATTCATCTTGTTCCAAAGTTGATTGCGGACGTGTTCGATGAGCTTTGCATTCAGCTACCGGACGATTTGGAAGAGTTTGATTCAGTTTGGAATAAAGTTCGTTTGTTGATCCCTGCACTTTTAGCACCTTAGCACTTTATTGACTTTCCTGTAGCCTTCATCAGGCTTGTATTTTCATTTATAAGTGTTTAGGATGATGATCTCTCTTTTCCTTTGTTCAACAATGTGGGTAGTGGTAGCCGATTGCAACAACTCGATCAGCTTCTCGATGAAATTCAAGCACCAGAAGAAGAGCCGAGCAACGCGAAAGGCAAGGCTGCTAAGAAGAAGGGCAAAGAATCAAAAGAAGCTGATATAGTGAAAGCTGTAGGAGATGAGGATGTGAAGTCACCATCTAAAAGTGGGTTTTCAGAGAACCTTTAAAACAAACGTCGTGAAATATCCTTTTTACTTCTGTGATCATTAAGGGGTTGAATTTAAGACAGCCTGGCGTGCATGCGGTTAAAGCTCGCACGCCGTACGGTACGCGCGCTTCACCATCTTGCCATCCACTTTTTCGTACATGCGTTCTTTTTTTCCGGTTACTTGATTCTTATTCCATAGGAAAACCACGTGACCCATGAAAAGGGTGATATTCTTCGATTTACCGAAGGTCTTTGAATCTTCTAAGTATCTGGCTCAATTAACCTTTCGTTTTTCTTTTGTTCTCGCAAACTTCGTGTTGAAAAAAGGTAGGAAATACTGTGGGATACAAGATATGTGTTTTTAATGGAACAACCGAAGTAAAATTGCTTTTGACGTCATTTGCATCAACTGTTGCTACTTCATTGTCATCACAGTCATTCTCGACCCAATTCTGCTCTTGCATCTTTAGTTAACTTCCATTTTGATCCTTGCTGACCTTAATCCGTGATCTTCATGTTTTTGTGCTTCTAATACACAAAATAAACGGACGTAAGGTGGCCGGCTCGCTCGCAAAATCGTTCCTGTCCCACTCGGTCAAAAAAGCATAAACACGTGTTGTGGTCGGCTAGTCATGTGCTGGTCTCAAATTTGTACTTTTGCCTTCTTTCGAGATGGTGATGGACAAGAAACATGTGAGGTCTGCCCCAACACATTATTTTATGGATCTACTCAATTATTCTGTCAATTTCTACGTCGCAGTGATTTTTTGAAGAATGCTCTCCACTTTTCATGTCTAAATGCTTCCAGAGTCATTTTTGCCCCATGTTAATCCATGCCCTATTTATTAGATGCTCATTATCGTATTTACTTTTCTGCTCTGCGCTCGTGGTCTTTTCAACCATAGTTTACGATCTACTAACTATCGAGTACTACCACGCTCCGTCATACCGCAAGGTGAATCCATTGTTTTCAGAAGAAGCACAAAGGAAATCTGGGCGTCTTCATGTGCATCGTGCTGTACCTGATACACCGGAAGAAAAATTACGAGATTCTGTGAAGGAATGCAAAGCAGAAGTAATTCGTTTCTCTTTTTTTTGTAATGTTTGCGGAAGGTCAAGACAAAATTTGGAACTGATTATTTTTTCGTACCGCTATTTACTTACTTATTCTTGGTGCATCATGAAATATTAGAGTCCTTTCAACCCTTTTGCGAGTATTGTGATATCGATCACTATCTCTATTTCTCTTCGATGTAGAAAAAAGTTCTCATTTGTAGATAGTGATTGATGACGTTGTGCTCATTGCAACAGTTTCTCGAATTCAAAATTTCCTTTTGGATCTGAAATAATGATTTTACACACTTTTAAGAGAATTTTGTGGTTAATTAATTCTGTAATTACTTCAGGTGGTGAAAGCAACACCGATGGCGAAGGTTTGTGGAAAGCCAACACGTCACAAATCTAAAATGTCCGAATTGGTCCGAATAAGTGAGGAGCGGGCTAGAATACCAAGAGCAGCTGCCCTAGCATCTGCTAAGGCCAGTAAAGCTATAATCCAGGTTAGCTTTAGTTGTTTTCTCCTCCATACCGTTTAAATTCCTTTTCCCTTCCCAGTTCTTCGGATGCCGTGGCACATTCAGTTGCGCCATTGTTTAAAGCAACAGTCCCAGCAGGGTTCTTACCTTCGACACTAATGGTGTGGAACGATGCGCTAGCCCTAGTCAAGAACATAAGAAGTGTGACTGAACAAAAAACTCACCTTGGAAAGCCGCTAGAAAGGGAGCTGAACGGCTTCGAAGTGGGCGTGGTTGGAAGTCGGCCGAGGGGATTGCAGCCGACTGAGCAACCACGCCCACTTCGAAGCCGTTCAGCTCCCTTTCTAGCGGCTTTCCAAGGTGAGTTTTTTGTTCAGTCACACTTCTTATGTTCTTGACTAGGGCTAGCGCATCGTTCCACACCATTAGTGTCGAAGGTAAAAACCCTGCTGGGACTGTTGCTTTGTGAGCTCTGTTCTACTATTCTTTGAAAGAACAAAAAAATGAACGAAATATTCAGCAGTTTTTAGGGATGTTCAATCATTGCAGGCATGTCAGAGTTCTCTGCCGATATCTCGCGAGTCTCTCCTTGGACTGCACACCCCCTCGCCTCGTCCTCAGAGAGCAAAATCAAATTTGTTGAATAAATTCACAAGTATAATCAGCAAGGATACTACCAAAACAGAAGTGGAGGATGAGAAGCCGTCAACCAGAGTTTTAAGAAGTGCAAGCTCGACTGGAAGTACACCAGTCAAACGTTCTGCAGATGTCCAGCCTGCTGTGAGCTTTTTCCCAAATCATTATCATTTTTCATTGGAAATTAAGGCTATGTTACGTAGGTGTCTGAACCACCGGAAAAGAAATCTCGGCCTTCCTGCTCTGCTTCGACATCAACATCGACATCGGTAGTTGGAATAGACGAAATTGTGGGACCCGAACAATTGGCAAGGTACTGTTTGTGTTTCCCAGCGTTTTCGCTCTTGCTTTGAGAAGCACTGCGGGCAGCTCTGTAATTTCTCACTTTAGGTTCCAGCAACGCGTGGATGAGATCAACAAAATGAATGACTTGGATGATAATCAGGTGTGCGTGGTGAAGCTCATTGTGCAACGACATGAATCGCAAATCAGTTATGCTTGAGGCTAAATAAAACGGGTCTTTCTGAGTGTTGCTGTCCCGTTGTACCCTCATGTTCGCCAGGTCATCCCATTGTGAACCAACTTTTGCATTCATCTAATCGATCCGAGTAGTGGGGCATTTTTGTAGTGCATGTAGTTCATGCCACTAACCATTCTCTTGCAGTTTTTTTTCAATCTACTATGTTTGGATTCTTTCAGGTCTACTTTGAAGATCTAGTAAGAAGAAGTAGTCTTTTCGACGAAGAATCATTTCCATGTCAACCGCCTGGTCAGAATCTTCAGCAGAATCGTACAAGAAGGGTTGTGACCGCTTCCTCGGCTGCCCATCTTGGTAAGTTTTCAGTGGCATGTTTTGTTATTGTTGTTGATGTTGTTGTTGTTGTGGCTGAACAATGAAATTTCTGCTTTTTTTTCAGCGCATACTCTATTAAATGTTGATAATGTGACGCCACTGGAGGTTTGGAAGTTGCCTAGAAACTTGTCATCGCCAGAGAAGATGCCTCGAATGGTGAGTTCTATATTTCGGCGCATATAACTTCAAGGGTAAAGGGCGAAAAGGTGACATTGACGAGTAGCGTTGCTCAGCACAGGCACAGTCCGGAGATCAAATCCCGGCTCGTGCGCCATCTAAGCCAGCTAAACTTTCCATTCTATGTCGCCGCCAGTCTCCCAAAGTTAAAAAACGCTGACTTCTTTATCGAGTCTAACAACTCAATTTATTGTGTAGCCCGAATCCCATTCAAAGGCTATTGCGAATTGAATTGGAAGTTGAATGTGTGGCGAATCCTGCAAAGCTATCAAGCAACTTAAATACTCCATTTTGATGATTTCTAACGCCAAGTTTCTTCTTTCAGATTCGTACCGGTGTAAGCGCAATAAAAATGAAGAAAATCCAAAGAATGCGGGAGCAATGCTGTATTTCTTCGCTTGCCGAAACCCAAAAGTCAGATCGCATGGCAGAGTTGGAGTGATGCCGTCACAAGTGTTCCACTTTTAGGTCTCTACTATTGTTCATAATTGTACATTCTTTTACTCATATCATATCACTCAGTGACGAACTCTTGCGAGTTGTTTGTGTTTTGAGGCGTCTTGTTTGTTATTATATGTTAAGAATATATTAAGTTCTGTTGCTTATTTGCTTGAATATTGGTTTGTATTGTACTTGTTTTGTCTTTACAAGTAGTAATCTGCCCAACACTGTTCTAGTCGATTTGAGTTTGCCGTTCAATTCGTGGACCACGACCGTGATCTATGTGTTACCATTCATTTGCCGAAGTCATTTGCCAAAAGAAAAGAGGCTGTCTCTGTCTTTCAAACAGCATATCGTTAAGCAGAACTTCTAATGCTGTTTATTTCCGTTCCTATAAGATTTCCTTGAATGGTGGTTTTGTCACGACATTCTTTTGCCGAGCATTGCACAGGATTGCTTAAATAAACTGATGTTGTGCGAGTTGTGATTGTACAAATGCACGGTAGTGGACCCCACATTCATCTTCTATACTTCATAGCTCCAGCATGGTGTTGTTTTAGCGGTTCTACCGATCGTGTTTTGGGTGATTTGTTGATCTTCGTGAGTTTTGTTCATTCTTTGCCTTTTACTGGTTGTTTCTGAGGGCGTGTATGCGTGGCAGTACGAGCGTGGACGGGAAAGCGACGGAGCCAAGGCGAAGCAAGCGCCAGCGAATCGACCTCACATCCGAAGAAGGGTAAGCTGCTTCATTCTCCCATATGTCCTCCCACTAGTTCTGCTGGAAAGCTGGAAAAAGTGGCCTCCACGTCGCCGCTTGTGGTTGGCCAAATCATCTTTGCGTCAGGCTGCCACGTAGACTGAATTGATTACGAGCGACGATGCTTAGCACGCATTTTAGACGAATGGTTTTCTCCTTTTAGGTATTCTTGATCGAGTGATAGTAAGATTTTGAAGACGCTAGTTTACTCATAGAAAAGAATTTTTGCGAATAAGGGACGAATTTGATTGATGAAGATCAAACGGAAAAATATCCGCAGTCAAAGCTCCACAGACTGTTGCAAGCAGTGGAAGCACTGAATGTGTTGATAGTAACATTTCAAACAACTGGAGTCGCATATTTGGTTTCGTATACATTGGATTCCCATGGAGTGGGATTTTTTCCTGAATTCTGGATTGTATTCGCAATGTGCCATGCTGAATAGTTTTGATGTAGCTCTGAGTACTGGCAAATGCGCGAACCTTGTCCGGTGGTCCGACGTTTTTCGCGAAATGATGATACTGTCCGTAAGATCGGTCCAACATAGAAGTCCCGGAAAGCGCCCAAGCGATGTCCAAAGCAGCGCTTTGATCTCTCATTTGTTTGTCCCCTACGATTGCCATTTCTTCAAGGTACTTGGCGTTCTGGAAATAATGATCTTGCCATCTTTTTTTTTCATTTTCGCACATGGGATCAAAAAATAGCCCTGTACCACACGACGTTTTTGATCCATATAGTCAGTCTATGGTCATTCTATGTGATTCCACAGCCGCACTGTAATGGTTAGAAATCAAACGTGAAAATCAGTTTCCTTTGAAAGTGCTGAAAAGCAAAAATCGATTTAACCCAAGTATTTGAAGTTACTCATCCATTTGACTATTTCCTTTTGTCTTTTTTGTATGTCGCAAAGGGTTACTCTTTTTGGCGGTCACTTCAAAAGTATATTTGCGTGAAATCTAACAATGCATACATGGAATTGACTTTCTGGCGCGGCTAGGTGCATGGTTTTTATTCTGCTCGAATATCATTTCTTCAGATTTGATCGTCACGAACTCGAGCGTGCGCTTCTCAAAAGTTTAGAGGAAGAGCGTTCAAGAGAAAAAGAGAAACCAAACAAAAAAGTGAGCAAGCCTAAAGCTGATAAGGTATTTCCTTACTCAATTTCTATGCATTTTCATCTCACTGGGTTCGTTAGGAGTTTTCATTACTCATTTAAGAGTAAAGCTGCAGCTCGCGTTGCCCCGAAAAGGCGGAGGGTTGAAGAACCGTCACCCAAAGCTGTCAAAATTGCAAAAAAGGAGGAAGTTGAACAAAAAGTGCGGGCAGAACCACAAGTTTGTCTTTTACTTAGCATGTATAGGTAAATATCCGTTCATTATTCATGTGTGTTTCAGATAGAACAGCCTTTACCAGTTACGCGGAAAACGATTGAAGCTGAGCCAGTCGCTCCAAAGAAAAAGACTGATCCTGTCTCAAAACGGAAAGAAGGGACTTCCACTCAGAGCAGCCCTCAAAGTACTAAGCCAAAAAAGCAGCCAGTAGTGAAGAAACAGGACACCTCGGTGTCAAAGAAGAAGGAAGAAGTTACAGTAGCAGAAGGAAGCAGTAAATCAGAAGACACTACTGTCAAAGAAGCACAGGCGACGTCGACTGGTTCACCTACAGATAAGAAGACGGATACAGAAGAGAAACCACAACCGGTAGAGGCAACAGAGGGAGATTCCCAGAAGGCGAAAGCAGAAGAAGTCGAAGTTCGTCGAGCTCCACCTCCGTATCGGCTGCCGTCAAGAGCAAGTGATCTCATCACATTACTAGCCTGTGCCAAGGAAGTCTTGGGAGATCACGAGTATTCAAGTGATCAAGACTAATCGTTACGTTGCAATCGACTTTGGTTGCTATATCCTATTATTACGTACTATTCTATTTACTTCAATTCATTATGCGACTTCTTCTGTTATCACTTAGCTTCATATTCGCTCTTCTTATCTTTCAAAGCGGATTCCTACTCAAACGAAAAGAACTTCATATGCGAAGTAAATGTAGTGATGCTAAGTTACTTCATTCCGAATGTTGGATGCAGCGTCAATTCAAAAGGGTGAGTTTCACAAAATTCGACGTCCCTAAAAGTTTTTCGATTAGTGGCTAAAGAATGCGCTACGATCGCAGAATGTGCGATGGTGAGAGCATTCGGTTGAAATGAACTAGCAGTGCCGGTGACGCATCTTCTGCAGCGCAGTACAGTGTGATTGATCGTTCGGAAAAATTTAGCAGTCTTTTCTAGGTGGTGTTTCTGTTGGTTGATGCCCTTCGGTACGACTTCCTAGTACCACCCGACGAGAATGCTCCGCACTCATACTTCCGCGGTCAAATGCCAGGCGTGGCGAAACTGATAGAGCGTGGTGCTGAGATTGGTCTCTTTGTAGCTGATCCACCTACGACATCACTTCAGAGAATCAAAGCTCTCACTACAGGTACGAGATCCTTTCTAATGCAGCAATTAACGTAGGTACTAAGCATCTCACAATCAAAATAGACAGTGATCAGATGATCTTCGCATTTTTGCCAAGTGTGACTGAAGTCATTTTTTGTTCTTTGGAAGTGTTGAGGTGCACCTAGAAATACCCTTGAGTCATAAAGTCAAAAAGGTGGAAATTTAATGCGCAACCCTTAGAGATTCAATTTTCTTTGACTGCTTCCGAACGGCTTAACTTGTCTAGAATTTGAGAGCAACCTTGAAAAACTTGCGTTCGTCATTCCACAATCCATATGCGACTAGGAGCCTTCACTATTACAAGTTGTTCAAGTTGGCGGAAGTGGTGTAGTGGCGAGTAGCACTGCTTACCACGCGCTTGGTCCATGGATCGAGCTTGGGTCATGCAGTCGTTCCGGGCCAACCAAGCCTTCCATCCCTCCGGGGTCGGTTAATTGGTACCAGACTTGTCTGGGAGGATAAAAACACTGACTTGTACATCGGCTGGCCCCGCAAGTCATTGTATAGGCCACATCGCATTCAAACGCCACTACGAATGTACAAATGGAAGTAGAATGCGTGCCGCATCCCAAAACGGGATTGATCAACGGCAAATGCTTTCTTTTATGCTCTGCAGACTAATGCTCGAAAGAAACCAGCCTTGATGTGAGTGATTTTGAATACGGGTTGTTTGCCACGCATGCGGCAGACCAGTCCTCCTTCATACGTAGTTGATTTGGCAAAGGATAGGGAAAGGAGCTCTGTCTCAGTACTGCATAGTTAAAATCATGAAATAAAAAACTTGTTGGTTCACAGCATGTTGTCATGTGATATATTCTCCTCCAGTAAATTTTCTTTTCATGTGATTAGCCCTTATGATATGGAATGGGCTAATTTCACGAAAGGAGCCACAAAATGAGCACACAGAACAGATTCTTCGTACAATTTCAGGAACACTGCCTACCTTCATAGACGCCGGTGATAACTTTGCTCCGAGTCCGAACATCAACGAAGACAGCATAGTTTTCCAAGCGTGGAGCAGGAATCTCACTACGACCTTCATGGGTGATAACACATGGTCAGTGATTACAGTAACAGTGATATTAACTGAAAACTGTGATCCAGTCCATGGAGAATATGCTATGTGTCATGGAAGTGTCAGACTTAGCGACCAATCGCCAGCGAACCAACGATTCGGAAGCAATTCTCAGTGATTCCCACTCTTCCATGTCTCCAAGGAGCCAGTCAGTGTTCTATATCTCAAAAAAGATACTTGAAGAATCGCTCGAATAGACGGCAAATCGCGCGATTTGCTAACATTTGGTCGCAAAGTTTGACAACTGCTTCAGGTTTGATTTATCTACTCCGGAGCGGTTACTCATAAAGGTGTGACCTCAGAGTGTCTTTCTCTTTTCACTCGGACTAGGTATTGGCGACAGCTCATTCAAAGTGGAACTGCCCTTCATAGCCCGTTACCTGTAACCATTGCATTGTTACTCGTTCCTTTTTCGTAGTTACTGAGCGCCTGTCGCCAGTTGCTAAGCTATCAACAACAAAGGCTCTCCTTCTAATCTTGTTGCCTCACATCAATCGATTTAGGACGTCCCTATATCCGGATCTCTTCACACGTTCTTATCCATTTGACAGTTTCGATATCAACGACCTCGACAGTGTTGATGACGCCGTACGAGGTGAGATTTCCCCTCATTCGCTTTCCTATGCATTTCGAATATTCCGTGATCAAATAAATTTCATATTGTTGATCCAAGTGGATTTGTGGTTAACATAGCCTTTCTGGGAGCCGTAGTTGCTAATTCGAATGCTTTGGCGTGCAATACTCTTACGACAGATCTCTAAGCCATTATTGGAACTCATTACAATCGATTGCTAGCTTTTTG